TCATGGAGGGAAGCATGATTTATTTTATTGAAGGAAATGCCTTTTTTTGGGGGGGGGGTGTTACCAGGGATTGAATTCGGGACCTTGTGCTTGCAAGGCAGGCACTGGAACCACTGAGCTAAATCCCCAGCCTGAAATGCCATTTATTTTATTTAACAATCCCCTGGTATAAACTGACAGTTCAACAGACATTTTTGTAAAGGATGGAAGATACTTTGCCTGCTGAAATGGAGCAGCTGCTGTTCTTATTCACTTTTACTAATATAGTTATCAGATTTAGCAGTTGGGCCTGTAAGCCTCATCAGTTGCCTGTTTTTCTTATGGCACAGTAACTTCACATTTACATTGGTTTTGTTAAAAGTATTAACTAGATGTTATTATAAAATTATATGTTTGAATAGCTGAATTGTTTACAGTTTGAAGATTTTAATTTAAGAAATTTTTTCTTTCCCTCCCCATATTTAACTTGGCTACTATTTATGATCATTTTTGCTGTACACTTTTTTCATTCCTTCTTTCTTTTTCTGCATGTGTGTGTGTGTTTGCATGTGCATGTATTACTGGGGATTGAACCCAGGGCTTTTGCACTGAGCAACATGTGCAGTTGTGGCCCTTCCACCCCCTTTAATTTGAGACAGTCTCAATGAGTTGCCCAGGCTGGGCTCAAACTTGGAATCCTCCTGCCTCAAACTTTGAGTGGTTGGAATACAGGTATACACCACGATGCCTAGCTGCTGTGTACCACCTTTTAGGGTTTCTGATTAAGGCATATAAATCTACCTTACCAAGATTGTCCTTTTTCTGCCTGAAAAGTACTCTGTTTTGATTTTGTGTTTATTTTCCCTTTCTCCCTTCTTTCCTTTTTTTAAAAAATTTTCTTGTTTGTACAAGGACTTTTTTCCCCCTCTCCAGTACTGGGGATTGAATTCAGAGTCTTCACACTTAGTATAGCCCTAGCCCTTAAAAAAAATTTTTTTTTTGAAGCAGGGTCTTGCTATGTAGTTCAGGTTGGCCCTGAACTTGCTATGTAACCCAGGCTGTCTTCAGACTCATGATCCTCCTGCCTTACCCTCTTGAGTGCTGGGATTACAGGTGTGAGGAGGACTTTTTAAAACAGTAGCTCTGGCCATTGAACCCAGGGCCTCTTGCATGTTAAGTACGTGCTCTACTGCTGAGCAACATCCCAAGCCCTTAGAAGTTTTTAGATTTAAAAACTCCTGTAAAGGGTATCTGAAACTCTTCATCTGCTTAAACATGATTTGAACGTCTTAAGTGTAGCAATATACTTTAGTAGAAATCTAGATGAAGGTAGTAATCAATTTTCAGAAGCATTTCAGGAAGACAAAATTAATGTATAAGTGAAGTTTCAGTGTGGGGCATAGGTCATAGGTCATTAAATCCTATTGATTGTTTTTTTTCTAAAGACTTCTTGATTACATTCTTTTTTCTTTTTTTTGGTACCAGGGATCAAACTCAGGACCTTGCACTTGTGAGACAGGCGTGGTGCCACTGAGTTAAATCCCTAGCCCTACATTCTTTTTTCTTTCTCCTGTTGCCTACACTTGGTGCAGAGGCTAAGGTCAAGAATATGGACATTGGCGTCAGTCAGTCTTAGGTTTGTGTCTAGTCCCTGTCACACTTTTATGTGTGCTGACCTTTGAAAAATGACTTAATCTTTATAAACTTCATTTTTCTCTTTTGTAAAATGTGGCAGTAGTGGCTGTCATTCTTAAAGATAGTGCATATCAATTGATAGTGGATTTAGATGTAGCACACGTTAAGCTAAGTTGATGTAGATATTCCTGCTGCTGCTGTTTAGTTGTTGTATTATTGCTGATCTATCATCTTCTATTTACATTATTATAGTAATATCCTAATTATCACAGCAGTGCCTTCTGTCCCCCCAATTTCTTCTTTTTAATCTGTCTTTCACATTGCCACCAGTTAGCTACCAGTTAGTTTTCACTATCTGTCAGTTCTCTCTGGCCTTCTGGATAAAGGTCAGACACCTTGTCACAGTTTGCATGGCTCTCAGTAAGCTTCCTTTTCTGGCTTAATTACTAGTGTTTCAAACTCATGCATTCATCCTCTTTATTTCTTCTCTTATGGCCACTCAGGGCATCTCCGTATCTAACTTTATGCTCTGTGCTTAGGCTTTTGTTTTTGCTCTTCCCTTTGCCTTTTGATACCCTTCCACTTTTTCACCTGGCAAGTTCAGGTTACTACTGTGTCTGAAAGTTAATTGTTCTTTGTGATCTCAAAGAAATTTGATTTTGCATATACTTCTGGCTTTGAATTTAGAAGCTAAGTCTTACCAAGTTTATATCTTTGTACTCTTAGTTTGGGATGGCAGAATTACCAAATGAATATTATTGGATATATTTAAATGTACCTTATTTATTCTGAGGTGAGATATTTTATAAGCTCCGTTTTTAGGGGACTGTAGGATATCTGTTGAGCTTGTATTACACTTTGATTCATGTAGACACTTTATACTGTGCTATTTGAGGTAGTGTATGTTTCTATATATAAAATGTAAATGGAGATTGAAGTTGTTCAAGGATTAGATTATTAAAGGAATCAATGTGCTCTTCTGTTCATTTCATTGCCATATAGTTGTGAGTAGAATATTGTATTATCTCCTAAAACATGAGGTCAGCTCTTTCTCTGTGTTCCACTGATTTAAGAGCTTTAATTCTTAGTGTTTACTATGGCTCAAGTATACCTTAGAGTTCGATACATTTTATGAAATAAGGTGGCCATAGCACCCATGTTACCAAATATTGTTACATAATTCAACTTTGTAGAAACAAGGATTTTTTTCCCTCTCTTATTATACAGAGTAAATGAAGGTGCTGAAATTTTTCTTGGTTTCATGTAATGAGAAAAGCTGCATATTCTCTTTGTGGAAGAATATAGTACTGCACCTTATGAACTGTTAAGCTGTCTATGAGTATCTTTTTTTTTTTGGAGTGGCCTTCTGGAGAGTGATTTATTTCCTCTTCTATATTTATTGTTATAACACCTTTTGATACTCTGTATTACATTTTGTCACCATTACTTTACCAAATAGTAAGTCTTTAAAACTGAATCTTTTCTAATATTTTTCTTGTTTTTTTAAAATTTTGTACCAGGGATCAAACTCGGGACCTTGAGCTTGCAAGGCAGGCTCCAGAACCACTGAGCTAATATTTTTCTTGTTTTACTGATTCTACTTTATTATTTTTATACCAAAATCATGTTTCCTATTTTTAATGTTCTTTAATAGCTGATAAAATTAATCATTTCATTTCATTAGGTGCTGAAGGTTAAACAATGTAGCATTAAAAGACTCTTGGTTTAGTGAGACTATGGTCAAGACCAAGTTAGTCTAGGGCTGCTGCTTGGAAATGTGCTCTTGCAGCCCAGCACCTACTTTTTTATACATCCAGCAGCACCTCCCAACCTTGAACTTGCTCTCTGTGATATTTTCTATTGGCTCTTTTAAAGATATTTTTAGTGGTTCTTTCTTTTTTTTTTTCCTTGCACACTATGTGATACTGTATTTGAACTTACTTTGTGTAGTGTATTTTAACTATTCCATTGAGATTTTTATTTGATTTATGTTTAAAATGCTATTGACCATCTTTATGGTCTTTCACCTCAAAGTCTTGATCTTTGTGCTTTTTTCTGCCTTCTTTCTCATATATGGTTATTAGAGTTGATCTTTTTAGGGGTGGTGAGATAGGATGAATATAATATGTCATGTGTCCATAAATGTTTCTGTGCCCATGTGTCTGGATTGGAGTGAACATTATAGCTCATGGCAGTGAGTTCATCCAGTGTCCGGGAGGCTGCACACCTTCGGTGCCCTCCATTGTGGCTCACACTCCTCGCCCTCCAGGCTGGGCAGTGTCTGCTCCTGGAGACCCACACTGCTCTTTGCCCATGTGGTTTCTTGAGCACCGCTCTGGGTGTGTCTTCAAGATTGTGCTTGAAAAAAAAAAAGTTTGTGCTTGAAAGTTGGAACCAGGT